TCCTTCCTCCTTTCGGAAGGGCTGGTAACTTGTTGTGCGGAGCGAACGGCGGCGGCACCACCATCCTGGCGGGCACCATGGGCACGTCCGCGCGCTGGGTGCTCTGGCTGCTGCTCGCGCTGTGCTGGGCTTCCCCGGAGAGCGGCGCCACCGGAACCGGTGAGTGAGGACGCGCCCCTCTGCGGGCGCCCCGGACCAGCTTGGGCGCCAGAGGGGGCCCCCACGAAGCCCGGGTCTCCTTTGGCCCACCCGCCTCCTAGGAGGCGCCCCTCGGCTCTTTTCGCCTTCTTTCCCTCCCCACCCTGGTGGCGCCTCTGAGCTGACAGTCATTGCCAAGGCTACAGGGAGCCAGGCTTGGGGGACGGCCGGGTTTGGGGTGTCCTATCGCCTCTCCTGAACTTGTCTTCATCCCCTTACACCCTCCCGCCCCCCCGCCCCCAGAGCTACTGCTTTGCCCGGTTTTCACACCCTTGACCCGGGTCGGGGAATATGGGCTTCTGAGCCATTGAACAATGGTTCTGCCTCCTCTGCCAGGCGGAGTGTTCAGAAGGAGGCAGAGGGCCGGGCCGGGCCGAGACAGCGCTGCGGCCCGAGGCGCGGTCCCTGGACTTCAGGAAGGCTGGGAGCGGACAGTGGATGAAGGTGGGCGCCTCTGCAGCCGCGGGGTGCCCAGCGCGGGCCGGGGCAGGGGGTCCTCCGGCGGCCGTGAGCAGGCGCACGTTCAGCGGGCAGCGGGCAGGCTCCGCGGGCGGCCAGGAGTGCGCAGCCTGCGCACCCGGACTGCGAGTCCGCGCACGCCTGGCGGCCCCGTGGCGTGCGGGCTAGAGGAGGAGTGTGGCTTCAGACAGGACTCCCATTTGGGTGCTTTTCCTCTCCGCTTCCTACCCCTCTGGCGGCGCTTGGAAACCTCTCAGGTCTCCCGTGTCGCTGAGCCGGGAGTGGAAGGAAGACTTAATCAGGTTAGTTTGGTGATCCACGTTTCCAGTGACGTTTCCTCGAGCACTGAGTCCTCATCTAGTGACTGTAATTAGCCTTCTTTCTAGACAATAGATCAAAGGAGTAGGGAGCCTGGGGAGGCTGCGACTGGTTGGGAAGGGCAGTCCGATTGCCCTGGACTCCCTGGGGTCTGCTGCAGGGGGCCTGGGAGTGCTGCTCAACTTCAGCCACCCTCCTGCTTGGGACCTCATAACTTTCCTGGGCAGGCGACAGGAGGCTTTTCAAGGGGGTTGGATCAGAATCCAGGACATGACACTGATGGGGTTTGCTTGCCAGCTGTAGGGAGTTGGGACAGACAGCTGCCCCAGTCCCAAACTCACGTGAGAGTCCCTAGCTTCGGTCTCCCAGTGGCTTAGGAGGCCTGCCTGCGTGCAGTCACGTGTCTCCTGAAGTAAGAGCGAACTTCAGAGAGTGCGGTCAAGCAGTCTCTGAAAGCGCAGTGCCCTTTGGTTCCGACTGTCCGGAGTGTGAGAAGCAGGATGGGCTTTTCGGCCCTCTGCTATTGGTTAGTGGGTGGATCACGTTTAGGCTGGTCACGTGGCCCCGCGGACTGTAATTCATCAGCCTGAGAAGTGTTGTCTTTAAGCAAAAGTAACAAAAAACAAAACAAACCAACAAAAGAAAACAAAACCCAAACCCCTGACAAGCTCACACGGGCTGTTCTTCAAATGCTTTTCCTATGTACACGTTCTGCAAAGGGCTAGTTAGTGTAGTGAACACGGAATTTGATGGGTGGCACAAGTGAGAAGCTGAAAAGCACTGTTTACAGGAGTTTTCAGAAGCTGGCATTAATCATTAACTTATTAAACGATTTCTCAGAATAGTGCCTTACATTACACTTTCTTGTAACATTTCAGTACACTAAAGTAAACCAGACACTACTGAAAAAGATCAAGGAGGTGGGAGAAAAGATTCATCTTTGCAGCATCCCGGTTATATACGCGGATGTAAGATTTGATAACTTTTCAGTTAGAGGTCAGCTTTATCCTACAGAACACTAGGAATGCACTTACAATGCTGGAATGAGGTAGTCAAAGCTATATGTTCTCCTTCTGTTCAGCAAGTGAGGATTCCCTTCACTCCCTTGGATCACACGTGAGATGCTTGTTCACAGTAGAAAACAGAAGCCCAGGCAGACTTAAAATCTTCAAAGCAAAGGAGGTAGATTCTTTCTGAACAGGAGGACACTCAGGTTGGCTGAGGCAAGTGTTGACCCTAAGCCAACCTAGACTAGCTCCTGTCTTATACTCTGAGTCCTAGGGCATGTGCGCTGATTCTCTGGCCCTGGTCTACACTTACTCCTTACTCACCATCGCAGTCGTGGTGCTGATCTACAATACATCAAGGTAGAGCAGGTGTGTACTCGACTCCAGCAAGGCACTTAAGTAATGCTAACAAGAGAAGTTAGTATACCTGATTGCAAAGTACCTGGGGTTTCTAGTGCATTTGCCTCCAGCCCAGGAGGCCAAGATTAAAATTAGAGGTACCATATAGTCTTTCAGGCCAGAGTCTAGACAAAACCAAGGTTTTATGAGAGCTGTTTAGATAAAACTAGCAACTAGCAAAGTAACAGCAAGAAAGTATTCTTATTGTGGGGAGTGAACTGGTGTAACTGGCAGCACCAGTAGACATGGAGATCAGGAACCAGAAATCTAGTGGGGAAGAAAGCAGGTGTATCCAGGCAGCACTGTGGGAAGGTACAATGATGATAATAATCCTCATCAAAAATGAGCACAAGAGTCAGGATTCTTTAAAGGAGGGTCCCCAACCAAGCCATCATGGGTAACAAGAGTTTCTCGAAGCCTGGAGTAGCCTTGTTCCCTGAGTCATCCTCCAGCCCCCTTTTGTGACTGTTACCTATGGTGCCTGTCCTGTGTCATTTTGTTTGATGTCCTTACTTGAGTCTCCAGATACCTAAAAGCCAGGTTCAGTACATCGCCATATGTTAAGGCTTCAGGATAACAAACTGCATATTTAAGCACCAAACGTTGCCTGGGAAGCCTCCATGCACAAAGGAAGTGTCCACCTCTAAAGCTGCCCTTTCAGAAGTTGAATAGCCATAAACTTGACATCCTTTAAGTAGTTTCGTTACAGTTTAGAAGAGATGAAAAGTCGTTCCAAGCCCCTGTGTTCCAGGAGGGACATCAAACTGATAAAACTAAACAAGAACTCCTGGAATAGAATATGACCGTGAGATCCAGGGAACAGACAGTACCCAGCCATATGGTTTCAGGAAGTCCCCAAACTGGAAGGCTTGGCACACAGCATAGAACTATACAATAGATACCTCATACTGAATATCTCGACCATCTTCTGTTTCTCGCGGAGTGTGAAGAAAGGTGTTCTTTTGAGTAGAGGAAGTAGTGATCCAACTGAGGCAGTTACCGACATGGCTATAACTTGATTAAATTCACTTTGGGTACTGACCTTCTTTTAGAAAGCCACTGTCACATATGAGCCCATAAGAAATTGAGCACCTTAAAGAGTTCTGACATGGCTATAATGTAGCGGCCTTAGGAGAGGTTCTTGTGGTAGGCTAATACAGTAGCCCTCTGTACGGTTAGCTGGTAAGCTCAAAATTGCTTGGTTTGTTCCCTTCTCATTTAAATCAATCTCAGGAGAGTGCTTAGGCTTAGTGACAGACTAGTTTCAAGGAGAAGAGTCCGAAAATATCTTCTACTGAGGTTACGAATGGGAAGTATTTGTGGAGCAGAAGTGGTCTAGGGACGTTTCCCCTCTCCAATTGAAGAGTTTTTGGCTAGTAAATCCAAAAGATGATAGATATCCTGAGAACTTCAGGGCAAAATATGACTTAGCTCTTTGCAAATGAACATCATCTCAATTTTACTCTGCATGTTTTCTATCTAAATCACTGTCTCTTTGCTAAACTTGTCTTTTGGCTTGCAATAAAAACTCTACAGACGCTGTTAATGCCACCTAGTTGGACACACTAACCACTCTGCAAGAACTAAATGAGATCGCAAGTGATTCCTTAAGTAAAGCACACTTTTCCCTTCATGTGAAGTTTCCCAGGAAAATTTGGGCCTGCTAGTTATTTTGAGGCTTTAAACTAAGTAAGAGAGTGCCTGCTAGGTACTGTTAAGAGTAGGCATAAAGATGCAAAGATGTTTCTAGAAATGTCTTCATGTTTGTTTAGAAATCCTTTACCTACTATGTGTCTTAGAGATACTCTATGGGAAGAGGTGAGGCTGTGCATGATTCTATAGTTAAGTAATTTGTGGGGACATGGGCTCACTAGCTAGGGTGGCTACCAACTTGGGGTACCTGACTGGCCCTGCTGGCTAGGAGACTTCACATATTCAGACACAGTGTTGGCAGTGAGATGGAACAAGGGGTGATTGCAATTTGTTAAGCTCAGGAAATCATAAAACCTTCATGGCAGATAACATTTGCAAGTTACTTTGCCTGTTATAACTTAATATTTCTCCCAAATACTGTCAGTAAAATAGGGCTCCTATTTTATAGATGGCTCTAATTTTATTTTTCTTAAGAATGCTTTCTCAAGATCTGACCTGACAACTAATCTTAGGTCCCCTACGTGGTTTTAGATTGATGCTTGTCTTTGTTGTATGTCCGCCTGAAGTGATTTGATGTCCACTTACTAAGCACCTACCATATACCATAAGGCATCAGCACAGGGGACACAGTGACCACAGAGATTGTCTCTTCCTTCTTAATGTTTGGCTAATTAAGAAGTCAAACCAGATAATGAAAAATCCAAAGAGCCTGGAACATTGGCTCAAGTGGTGGGTCAGCCGTAATGCATCTGTTCCCATATAAGAAGGTTCTCGATTCAAATCTTGGAACCCCTCCCCTCATGCACACCAGATATTTGTACCCGTGATTTGGGCTGGCTAAGACTGAGGACGAATTGGGGTATTTGGTCCTATTGGAGGTGTGTATATGTGTCTCAAGAAATAAATAACCTTCCATAAAAAGAGCTTGAAATAGAAACCCAAAAAAGGATTGAGCAGATCCAGTGATAAAGACTGGATCTTAAGGCCCTGCCTTGTGGTGCAATGGTAGTGTACTGAGCTGTAGGGCTGAAAACATGCCAGGTGCACAAACACCCAAGATCCTGACAGGCTGGAGAGCTCAGGGAAGATCATGATGTAACAAGACCTTATCAAGTGTGCCTCTCTCTCACAAGGGCACACATGCTGTCTCCTGTGAATAATTTAAATACATTAAAAAAATAAAAAGAGGCACACAGCAACTGAAGATTACAGGCGTTCCCATGTGCTACCTGAGTTATAGCTTAGAGAGTTTCCCTGAAATCACCAGAAGTTAGAGTCTATGGATGGTCTTACAAAGATATCATGATTCAGGCAATAACAGATTGCTTCCAACATTACCAAGAGTGTTGAAATGTGTCAGAGGTGAATTCTGGGTCTGATATATCAAACATCTAACCTTACCAGTTAGCCACTGTTGACTCCCTCCATGGGTGATAACCTCTCAGTTCACAGAAGTAAGGCTAACATACCCACACTGTTGCATTCATTCTGACCGATAAGTGTGTGAAAGTGTACTGTTTTTACATAATAAAGTACCACACAGATAAGGTGAAAGTCCCTCAGAAGCATAGGGAACCAGGGCCTCTGTAACCTAGACTCTTTCAAAGA